ATCGGATGGAATGTCGCGGCATACGTCGACGACGCTGCCGTCAAGACAAAAACAGGCGACACATTGATTGATGACCTCAGGGAAACATTCAACAACCTCCGACGACATCGGCTCAAGCTGAATTCAGAGAAGTGCATATTTGGAATACCGTCGGGGAAGCTACTCGGTTTTCTCGTCTCCGGACGAGGCATCGAAACAAACCCCGAGAAGATTAAGGCCATCGAGAATATGAAGTCACCCACAAGACTCAAGGAAGTCCAGAAACTGACCGGATGCAAGGCAGCACTAAGCTGCTTCGTAGCTAGGATGGGAGAACGAGGACAGGCCTTCTTCGCCTTGCTCAAAAAGCAAGACAAATTCAAGTAGACTCAGTAGGCCGAGAACGCGTTCATCGCGGTCAAACACTACCTGTCAAATCCCCCTATACTCGTTGCCCCACAACCTAATGAAGACATTTTCCTATATATTACTGCCACTCCTTACTCTGTAAGCACGGTTATCGTCGTTGAGAGGGAAAAAGTACAACACCCGGTGTACTATGTCAGTGAGGCCCTCCACGATGCCAAGGCCAGATACCCATAGATCCAGAAATTTCTCTACATTGTGATCATGACATCGAGAAAGCTACGCCACTACTTCCAAGCCCACAAAGTCGCAATCGTCTCTTCTTTTCCCTTGGGAGAAGTCGTCAGGAACAAGGACGTTGTTGGTCACATTGCTAAATGGGTAGTCAAGCTCAGCTAATTCGATGTTCACTTTGTACCGAGAACAACCATCAAATCACAAGTTCTCATTGGCTTCGTAGCTGACTAGACTATTCCCGAGAATAGCACAGTCAGCTAGACGAATAACGAGACATGGACCATGGCGTTCAATGTTGCACTCAAGAGCCATAGAGTAGGAGCATGATTCATTTTGACATTTCCCACAAGAGACCAGTTCAAACATGCAATCCACCTAAATTTCTGGGCAACAAATAACATTTCCCACAAGAGACCAGTTCAAACATGCAATCCACCTAAATTTCTGGGCAACAAATAACACAACCGGGTACGAAGGACTCCTCGCAGGTATTCGAGCAGCTGCGACACTGAGGATCAAGCGATTAATGCGAAAGGGGACTCAGAGTTAGTCACAAACCAAGTGCACAAGGATTACAAGTGCTCCAATTTCGAGTTGGCCAAATACCTTGCTGAAGTCAGGAAGAAGGAGCGAAAGTTCGACGGCATCGAAGTTTGACATGTTTATCGCAAGGATAACATCGAGCCTAATGACCTGGCACGACGCGTGTCTAGAAGAGAACCTCTTAAACCAGGAACTTTTCTAGATATCCTGACAAAACCGTCCGTAAAGGAGTCGCACGACGAAGGTACCATAGCCAACACCAACATCAGCTCGGGGGCTTAAGAGGACGAGAACATCGTTGCCGATATAGAGATAACAGAAGACTGGCGGACTCCGCTCATCGATTTCTTGGTTGTCGACAAGTAGCCAGAGGACGACGCGGAGGCAGAAAAGCTATTCCGTCATGCCAGAATTTATTGTTTGATCGACAACGATCTATACAAAAATGCCCCGAACTGTGTCCTCCCTAGATGCGTCTCGACCTATGATGGCAAAGCTCTACTTCCCAACATCCATGAAGGCATCTGCGGATCATAAGCCGGCAGGCGTACTCTGGTAAGAAAAGACTTTCGACAAGGATTCTTCTGGCCAACCGCCCTCAAAGACGCTTGCGGCATGGTACAACGCTGTGAAGCTTGTCAATTCTACAGCAAACACACCAAGATGCCAATGCAAGTGCTTCAGACTATCCCTTTAACTTGGTCGTTCTCATGCTGGGGTTTCGACACACTCGGACCATTCCCACAAGGACGAGGCGGTTACAAATTCTTGTTTGTGGCAATTGATAAATTCACAAAGTGGATTGAAGCGGAGCCCACACGAGAAATTAAATCCTACAACGCAATTAAGTTCATCAAAGGGATTTTCTGCAGATATGGATTGCCTAACCGCATCCTGACAAACAACAGCTCCTAGTTCACAAGCGGCGATTTCTAAGATTACTGCATTGAGTTGGGAGTCAAGATTTGCTTCGCTTCAGTTTCCCATCCCTAGAGTAATGGACAAGTCGAACGGGCTAATGGTATTGTGCTCCAAGGGATCAAAACTCGTGTGTACGACAGGCTTATGGCCTACGATACACGCTGGGTTGAAGAACTCCCATTCTTCTTATGGGCCGTACGCACTACACCGACTTTTTCCAATAAAGAGACACCGTTCTTTCTCATATACGGATCTGAGGCTATGCTTCCTTCGGAGCTATGGCATCAGAGTAAGTGAGTTCAAAAATACTCTAACGCGGAACATGAGGGAAGGCGGAGCGATGATGTAAATCTACTCGAGGACCATCGTGAACGAGTTGCCGTTCGAGCAGTCGCATATCAGCAGACCCTACGCCGATATCATGAGAAGAATGGGAGGGAACGTACGTCCTCGAGCAGTCGCATATTTGCCGTTCGAGCCCGCACGCTTGCCATCGGCGATTACGTCCTCTGACAAGTTTAAAATCAAGCAGGGCAAAACAAGCTCTCGCCAAAGTAGGAGGGAACGTACACGGTGGTTCAAGTCCTGCGGCCAGACACATTCAAGATTGCAGATGGCGAGGGCCATGAGTTATCAAATTCCCGGAACATTGACCAGCTACATAAATTCTATGTATAGCATCAATGTATACAAGTCTGTGAGTTCTCTTACAGTTCTATAGGCAAGTGCGACCCCCAATCTCGTGGATAAGTCTCGATTTCTCCCTCACCCTATTCCTCTCCTAGACTCATCCGTCTCCCTATCCCACCTCACCGTCGTGCCATCATGGGGCCACTGGCGGTGTCACTCTGACCTCCTTCCTCCGCACCAGGAGGATGCCAGGCATCGCTCCGATGACATCATGGTGGGAGCTTGTCCAACAGCAGGGGCTGTAGTGGCTGCCAATGGGGGTGCGAATCCGGTGCAGGTGGAGCATTGAGCTGCAGACCTGGTTGCGACAGCTTCATCTCAGCGGTGGCTTCCTCTCAGTGGGTAATCCAACGGCCCTGGGTCCCTGGGGTGTGAATTGAACTCTCGAGCTGATGCACCCAGATTTTTGGTGTTCTTTTTTTGCTGCTATGGATTTGTGATTGTGACCAGTGATTTAATTCGATCGACGTTCTTGTTGATTTTGAGAATTTTGCAAATGGCATTTTTAGTATTTCAATTTTTCTCATAAATCCTCATCTCTGGGTGTCCAGCTTTAATATCGCCGCATGCATATGAAATCTATTTTCACCAACCCTTGTAAGCCTGGAAGAATGGATCTCAGAGGTGGCCGGTGTTCCGTCAATGAAAAGCCTCTATTTTTACTGGCTGTGGCAGGTTAGTCGCATGCGGTCGGCAACGAAAACCTTTTTGCCCGTCAGTGACTGGCGTTTTGTATTAGTGAACTATAATTAGCTCTTATGCATGATGCCAATTTCTCTTCCCTTCTCCATCCAAGAACTATGAAAGCACTTGTTAATTACAGTACTAAACTACAAGGTGTTGTTATGGTCTGGAACCCTGAATGGCTCAGTTAAATTCTGCTGCATTGATTAGTAATGATGCGTGGGCTCAAAATACAACAGATATATTACAGTGATTGTAATTTCTATTAAGCGGTCCGGAATGTGCAGTTAGTCAGAGAAGAGCCGGATCAGATTGTTTGGAAATTCACAGGCAATGGCCATTATACAGCCTCTTCGGCCTATCATGCACAGTGCTTGGGGGCGCCAAGTACAAACCTCAACTCTTTGATTTGGAAAGCATGGGCCCCGGGGAAATGCAAATTCCATGCCTGGCTCATCATCCAGAATAGAGTCTGGACGTCCGACCGACTTGCAATAAGAGGTTTGCAGAACAACGGCCATTGCCCTCTCTGTCGTTGCGAAGCTGAGACGGGATTGCATCTTGTCGCCACATGCAGATACACAAAGAGAATCTGGCACCACGTTGCCGGATGGGTGGGATATCATCAATTGGAGCCGTCCCAGTGGGAGGAAGCCCGGTCAGTCCGCCAATGGTGGGAAAGCCTAGCAAATACTCCCAACATCCCAAAAAAGGGCCTTCGGTCCCTCATCCTACTAGTAGTCTGGGAAATCTAGAAGGAGAGAAATCGGCGGATTTTCGATCACAAAGAGATGGCGGTAGGCCTTCTCCTAGCAAAAATAAAAGAGGAGGCTAGCCTGTGGGCCTTAGCAGGGGCAAAAAGATTGCGCGAATTCGTCCCACGCATTGTATAGTTTATAGTTTAAAGTCTTTTTTGCTTTACCCTTAGGAGTTGTATTTTCTCCTTCTATATTCAATGAAAGGCGCACTCTTGTGCCGTTTTCCGTTCAAAAAAAAATTTCTATTGATCCTGCTAGATGGGACAGCCCGAGTCCCAACCCATAGTGTCCATAAGCAGTGTCTATGGTGCCATGTCAATAAGACATCAGAATAGAAACTACACTCTACAACCCATGGTTTCTTAAAGTGGGCCATTAATAAATACATCATCACTCTTCTCTACCAATCATATTTATTCTTCATCTATTATGAAGACACTATTCTCTCCCATTGCAAAACTTGATAGTGTCTAGTGCATATGTTCTCGTGTTGAAGCTGTGTCTTGCATGAGACCCAGTTTCTTCCTCGCTTCACTCTCTTTCTTAATCAATATAGTGCCACATAAGCTAAAAATCCTACATGGCAATGTAGTTAATGCCATAGACACCATCCTAGGTGGAGGGTTGGGACTGCCCTAAGCTATTCTCAACCCAAAACACTAGACATAGTTTCCATAAACTCCACATCATCAAGAAACTAGTAGACACTACTCTTCCAATGCAAACACCACTATCCATACTTAAATTTAATACTACTTATCTCATATGATGTCTTGGATGTTGTGTAGAAACTACGTCTCATGCAAGACATGGTTTCCTTCTCTTTCCTCATTTATTCACTTGCCACATCATTTTCCATTCTAGATGACAGTCTATTTAATGTTATGGACACCATCCTAGTCATTGTGTTGGGAATGACCTAATAATCATTTATCATACGGATAGATACAACACGGCAACTATTTGACACCCTTTATACACTGATCGAATAATTAATGAATGAACATATACATGAACAGATCGAGCACGGAGCTAGCGACATACATAAATTTACACACTGATGAACCCAAAACAAGGTTAATTGTTTTGATACCCCCAGTATACAACTGACTGTCCGATCAGTAATTAATGAACCAACGAAAAAATTGAATACATAGTATGCAAAACGCTAATGAACCACATGAAGAAATTATTTGTACACACGCGGTGCTTGTATGAGTACATATATGAATCCGTTGGTTTTTCTTCATCATCAGGAGCACTGTCTAATCAGTTAAGATCAACCATTGAGTGGCGGATACCTCTTAATCGAGCCCTTGCCTAAGAAGAAGAAACATATATGATTAAACTGGAGAAGTCAAAACAATAACGATGTCACATAAAACTATCTAACTTTATGTAGCTAGGAGAGGGTAAATTAGATGGGTAATTTTAGCATCTTTGAAATAGTATCAAGATGTATCATATTTTTAGTGTAAAATTTTTTATACCTTCAGCTACTATATATCTTGAGGTATTAAAATTTTGGTACTTGCATATACTTCCTAATTACCGTAAAATTTCTTAGATAGATTTTTGCTCACTTGATTTTGCTCCAGCACCTCCCAGCTGCTGGCTTTTGCTACTGCTTATGCTGTTATAGTAGTACTGATCTGCAGTATTCGACTTGTAATCTGAAGATTGCTGCGCAGGCACCCTTCCTGTCGTGCTTTTCGATGGTCCTGCAGGCGCACAAAATTAGTGGTGTGCAAAAAGAGAGCTTAAAAACACCTGGAAAGTTTTCTAATTACCAGCATACTATTAATTATGTACTTTTTATATATAATGATGTAAATATATAGATAGTGCCCGAAAAAAAGTTAATATATATACTGTTCTTTAAATCGGTATCGTTTCATGCATAAAGAAAAAAATATTTTGTTTGCCGGAATGGCTTAAGAGGGGCCATCCAATGCATGGTATTAATATTGAGAGGGAGAGAGGTTAAAATGAAACTTTTGAACAATAGATCAGGTTGTCAGGTTGACCATACTGTGAGCACACGTACACTCAAAAACCACGCGCCAACCATATAAACACAAGCCCCTGAAAGAAAAAAGCCTAGCTAGTTCCAAATCTATTGCCGCTGCACCAACAAAGAAAAATAAGCTTTTATGCAGCTTTTATTTGCTAATTAATTACCACTGTAGTACGATGAAGTCGTTGATTGCGAGTTGGTAGCTCCATAGGAAGTCCCATACAATGTTGTTCCCTGCTGGACAGGCACCGAGTTCCGAAATCCTGCGTGGATTCATCAATTGGATGAATCAATTAGGTTTCATGCAGATTCGTATAAAAATATGAAATGCTAGCTAGTTAGTATTCCCTCCACTCCTCAAAATATAAGGTATTTAGAATTTTCATCCACTACTATAGATCCGGGCTTCATGGCAGGTCATCTGTGACGGGCCAACGCAACTCGTCAAAGATGAGTCATCTCTGATGGGCCGAAAAAATATCCTCTTCAATATATGGCTACCAGGGAGGACCCGTCATAGATGTGAGGTCATCTGTGACGGCTTGCACTTGTAAGCCGTCACAGATCACAACCATGGCTCGTCACAGACGACATGTTATCTGTGACGGGTGTAATATTATGAACCATCATAAAAGAGACCACTCATCTCTGACGGGTCTTTAACTAACACACGTTACAGATAACATTATCTCTGACGGGTTGTAGTTATGACCCGTCAGTGATGAGTGAAAATTCAAAATTTTAAATTTTGCAAAAAACCTCGGATTGAGACATGTCCTATATAAAAGATGTAGCTCTCGATGATATCCACACCTTTATAACTAACAACATTTCTATTAGAGATCGTTTACATCCCTGAACATGCATTACAAGTGATCAGATCTAATTTTAAAAACAAAATTTTGAGTTATTTTCAAATGGACATGGATGGATACATGCCCCGTATCGAAGACATAGAACTCAACCAGATTTATAACATTGTAGTTGAAAATATTTTCATTTCACAAAGTTTACATGTTCAAAATACATGTTATAAAGTGAGATATATTTTGAAAAATGAAATTTTGAATTCTTCAAACACATCGGATGAAGATATTTTCTATGTAAAAGTTATAAAACACGATGAGATCTATAACTATTTAGTTGATAATATTTTCATTTGAAGTTATTTAGGGTGTTAAATATATGTTAAATGATTTAGACAAGCATAGACAAAAATAATAACATTGGGTGAGTAATCAATATGTGCTGAGTAGGTGAGTTGGTAAGGGAGCTCTATATGGAGGTTGAGGTCTTGAGTTCAAATCTCACATGTAGCATGCAAGCTATATTGCGTGAAAAATTGTGAATTTGTAGGTAGTGATGTGTAACGATGTTATAGAATGGCTAGTAAAATTTAAAATATTTTTTTGAGGTTTTTTTGTTGCGTTTAAAATTCAAAAATTGTATTTCTTGCTTTGTCATCAGTGACGGGTCGTAAGTTACAACCCGTCATAGATAAGTCATCAGTGACGGCCAGGTAGTTACGACACGTCACTAATAACTCATCTATGACGGGTGACAAGTTTTAACCCGTCAGAGATGACTTATATACCGATTAGAGATGGGTTATCTGGTGATTTTGTCATCAGTGACCACTAATCACTGACCAAAACCAAACCCGCCAAAGGTGAGGGTTTGGGCCCGTCAGAGATGACCTGGTCCGGCGTACTGATCGGATACTAGAATGTGTTACGTACATCATCAAAATACGTTGTATTTTGGAACGGAAGAAGCACCATGAGTTGGAGTAATGGTACTCAGCTGACCCGTACGACGACATCTTGATCTTGTCAGGCCTGTGAAATCTCTTGCTTCTGATCGATGCTCGGAGGAATACGTTATCGACGTACCGGTTGTGGAGAACTAACACATTCCATCCGTTTATATAGAGCTCTCTTTCTCAATGACGTTCAATATTCTGAGAAAATTCATTGACAATGCACACAATTTGCAGGAGTTTTAGCTTGTCTCCTCTTATTCATTATCGCAGCCCGTTAACTTAATTAAGGATTGCTCAAGGAGCAACCTCTCCTATTTCCGTGAAAAATGCATGCCATTAGCCGAGTAAAACTCTCAACTGACAACTTCTCGAAATTTTGAGTTGCTACGTAACGTGAACATGTGGCCACATGGGCACGCCTCGTGTTGACGCGTGCCTGAAATTTTCTATACCGCGTTGCGTTGACAGAATATCCATTGCGGATTCATCATGTACTAATGCTAGTTCTCGAGCTTTTGCTGATGTTTTCCCGCCATTTTCCAACCGAACAGACGATGGTAAGTTAAGTTTGAATCGTGGACAGCTTCCACATGTACGTGTTATTTGACATAATTTTTTTTGTAATAAGCAAATATCCTGGAGATTTCTCATTTCTCATGGCACCTAGAACTAAATTAGCTCATGTAATCAATGAAGAAAGGACTACGAACTTGCATGTATATTTCGCATCAGTTTCTACTGAAATTAGATCGAGCTCAAATCTCATCTAGGGGGAAACAGAAAAAGGAACCCGGACACAACTCCAGCTGTTTAGTGCGGATGGTTTTGACAAAATTTCATTCAAATTAATTAATGGTCAAAACTTGTCGCGGTTATGTTCAAGCAAACATCCTGGACATTTCGCCTTCCATCCACAGAATACTCTGAACAAACAAAATAACTAAATCTGAATTCTAAATTATTAATGCAGTGTTAGGTTATTGCAGCTAATTTTCTCTCCCGTTTCTGTTGTAGTTAGATCAAACTCAAATCTTGGAAATTTTGCATGCTAACAAACACCAGCTGTTTCCATGTTGTCGTGTTCTTGCTGCGTCTGAATAATCTGAAATGTCAATATATTCAGCTCGCAAATAATTAATCCAGTGTCGCCTGATGTTTTCCTTCCCTTTTCCATGAATAAACGATACAAAGATTTGTTCAACTTCAAGGTGCTGTTATAGTCTGAAACTCTGAACGAGAATTGGATTGGGCTGCATGGATTATTGGTATTGATGGGTCGTTGACAGAGCAATTGGGCTTTTTTGTTGTCACCGAAGAGCCCCTAGGCCCAGTACCTTTCCATTCCTTTTTTTTTTTTTTGCGGGGACCTTTCCATTCTTCTTTATTTTATTTCTTTTTGGCAGATCAGTCTGACACGGTCTAGAATTTTTTTTTGTTGGTCCATCAATTTTTTGTGTGTTTTTACACCCTTTTCCTGTCGATAATTCAATAACAGGAACAGCGATCGCAATTGTTTTAGTTTATGTTTTCTCTATGTTTTTAAAAATAGAAATACTACAGAACATTCTCCCTTTTGAACTGGATGACTAAATAACCATCCCGTTGAACATCTTATCCATACCAGTACACTACATATGTTGGTCTTATGGTATCCCTGTGATTCTCCTTTCCCTCCCCTCTCTCTCTATCTCCCTCCCTTCTACCCTCATCTCTCTCGCCCCTCTCTCACCCTCATGGCTCACCAGCGGTGAGCACCATACAGCCATCCGTCTGTGTAGTCAACGATGATCAGTTATGTGTTGTCGTGGAAGACCGACTCCACTCGAGGTGGAGGCATTGCGGGGGCGATTCTTGAGGTTTCTTTGAGGTGGTGGCGAATCGGATTGACATGTTTTTTGTTGGTTTTTTTGTGTGGTTTTTAAGCATTTTAAGAGGTGATTTCTCAAGTTAGTTTTTCTCATTATTTTTTGAGTTAGCTAGCCATATTGAAGAAATTTGTGTGCCTCCCCTGGGGCGTTGCCGCTGCCGCTGCCACCCCTCCCGCCGGAATTGGTGGAGGGAAGTGTGCCGCCCACCGCTGCCGTCTCTCCTCCCACCGCCGCCGCCCATTGCCGTCGACATCTCCCGCCACCTCCCTCCCGCTGCCACCTCCCGCTGCCTCCCTCCCGCCACCACCTCGAGAGAGATGGTGCGGTGGAGGAGAGAGAGAGAGGAGAGGCACTTGTGTGGTGGAGGGGGAGCAGCAGCAGCCGCCGCCATGTCTAGGCGAGAGGGGAGATGGAGAAAAGTAGGCGAAGAGACGGGACGTGAGAGAGAGAGAGATGGGTGGGCAGGGGGCCAGGATGGATAAGAACGTGCGGCTCGGGTCGGTTTTACAGGGTGTCGGTTTTTAGAAAACCGGCACCTATAAGATATTATAGGTATTGGTTTTTTTAAATACCGTCACCTATTCCTGTTACTAAAAAAATACTAGTTCCTGGGTGGGCCCTGCGCCAACTAAAAAGTATCGGATTTTCAATGAAAACTACCATCTTTCTCTGACACCAGTAATAGGTGCATGTTCTTTTTAAAAACCAACACCTTTTTGATGATAAAGGTGCCGGTTCTTTGGATTTTGGCGGGCAGATGGGCTCGTGGGTGGGGAAAGGCGCTATAGGTACCGATTTTACCTACTCTGGCACCTATAGTGCTGATAGCCAATTGATGTTTTGCAGTAGTGAGATGTTGTGTGTATATGGGAGGTAGGATCAGGTATTATTGGTGTATTATATATTTATAGATAACTATTACTCCCTCCGTTACAGAATATATAGAGTTTTAGAGTTGGAAACGGATATTAAGAAAGTATGTAGAATTAAATAGGAAGGGGTTGTGATTGGTTGAGAAGTATAGATAGGTAGGAAAAGTGAATAGTGGAGGGTTGTGATTGATTGTAAAGGGAATGTTGGTGGAGAAGCTGTTATATTTTGGAACAAATCCTAAGTGGTAAAAGTTATTATATTTTAGGATGGAGGGAGTATATGAATTGGCTATAATATTGGTTATAAATGATTTTGAGCTAGTAATTGACTATACATAATTAAACTTGATCTGATAAACCCAAAATAAGGTTCATTGTTTTGATATTCCAAATATACAACTGATCACTGACCGATCAGTAATAAACCAATGAACAAATCGAATACATCTTATTTAATGGCTAATGAACCACATGAAGAAATTAAACAACCCTACATATCTAGGTTCGTTGCTGCTCCCAAACATGTATTTACAGAAAGATACACGACAACACACAGACTTCCTTTCTCAATATGATTATTTGTGTATATACGGTGCTTGTATGAGTATATGCAATCTGTTGGTTGTTCTTCATCGATCATCAAGCACTGCCAAATCAGTTAAGATCAGCCCTTGAGTGACGGATACCTCTTATTCGTGCCCTTGCCTGAGAAGAAGAAACATATATTAACAACAAATTAATTACTGGAGAAGTCAAACCAATATCGATTTCACATGCATCTATCTACATATATATAGCTAGCTAGGAGAGGGTAAATTAATTAATTAGATGGATAGTTTTTGCTCACTTGGCTGCTTGTCGTAGTAGCCAGCACCTCCCAGCTGCTGGCCTTGGCTGCTGCTTATGCTGTTATAGTAGTAGGAGTACTGGTCTGCAGTCTTCGACTTGTAATCTGAATATTGCTGCGCAGGCACTCTTCCTGTGGTGCTTTTCGATGATCCTGCAGACGCATATGCATGCATGACCGCACAAAATTAGTGGTGTGCAAATTAAAGGAGAGCTTAAAAACACATGAAAAGTTTTTCTATTACCAATAATGTTTAAATGTCTACAGTACTCTTTAATTTTAGTATTGTTTCATAAGGGAAAATATCTTTTTGTGGAGTCTGTATTTGCTATAATTAATTACCATTGTACGCTAAAAAAATTAATTACCATTGTGGTACGATGAAGCCGTTGATTGCGAGTTATTTCCTCCATAGGAAGATCCATAGAATGTTGTTCCCTGCTGGGGAGGCACTGAGTTATGAAACCCTGCGAGAATTCATCAGTGGGTTACAAATTGGATTTCACAGACAAAAGCTATAGTTAGGTTTGATGCAGATCCATAGAAATGAGAACAGTACAATATTATTTGGACCATGAGTTGGAGTAATAGTACTCACCTGATCCGTACGACGACATCTTGATCTTGTCAGGCCTGTGAAATCCCTTGCTTCTGATCGATGCTTAGAGGATGTTATTGTTGGAGAAGAATTAACGTATTGGATCAGTTTATATAGTGCTCTCCATTTCAAAGACAATCAAAATTCTGAGAAGATTCATCGACAATGCACACAAATTTGTAGGCATTTCAGCCTCTCTTCTTCTATTCGCCGTTAAATTAATTGAGGATTGCTCAAGAAGCAACCTCCTATATATTTCCGTGAAATATGCATGCCATTAGCCGAGTAAAATTAATCCCAACTGAAAACTTCTCGAAATTTTCAGTTGCTATGGTACGTAACGTGTACCTGGCCACGTGGGTACGCGTATTGTTTGACAGGTGTCTGAAATTTTGTACGTAACGTGTTGCGTTGACAGAATGGCTGTGTTCAGACAGTTTCACACTACTTCAATTGCAAACATGCTGCTCGATGAGGTTTTCCCGCCATTTTCCAACCAAACAGACTGGGTAAGTTATGTTTGAATCGTCGACAGCTTCCACATATACGTGTTATTTGACATAATTTTTATTTATGTTGTTAAGCAAATATCCTGGACATTTCTCATGGCTCCCAGAACTAAATTAATTCAAGTAATCGAAAGGACTACGAACTTGCATGGATTTATCGTACCAGTTTCTACTGAAATGAGATCAGGCTCAAATCTTATCTAGGAGGGGGGAGAAAAAGGGGCACAAATACTCCAGCTGGTTGGTACGTGTCGGTGATTTTGACAAAAATACATTCAAATGGTCAAACCTTGTCGCGGTTCCGTTCAAGCAAACATCCTGGACATTTTGCATTCCACCCAGTATAATCCTAACAAACAAAACAACTAAACCTGAGTTTGTAAATTATTAAAGCAGGGTTTGCTGCTAATTTTCTCTCCCGTTTATCTTGCAGTTAGATCCAACCCAAATCTGAGAAATTTTGCATTCTGACAAAACATTAGCTCCTTAGTAAATTTAATTTCGATGTCGACGCTAAAACTAACTTCCAGTTCCATGGCGTCGTGTGCCTGCTGTGTGTCTGAAATTAATCTGAACCTTCAAGCTCGGAAATAATTAATCCGATGTCACCTGCTGTTGTTTTTCGTTCCCTTTTCCATGAAAAAACGATACAGAGATTTATTCAAATTCAAGGTGCTGTGTTATGGTCTGAAACTCTCAGTACAGCTGAATTGGGCTGAATGGTTTATTAGTGTACGTTGATGGGCCGCTGACAGAGCAAAATTGGCAATCTTTGTTGTCACGGAAGAGCCCCTAGGCCCAGGGATCAGCGTAAGATCAGTCTTCTTTTCTTTCCATTCTTTCTTTTTATTTAATTTATTTTGTAAGATCTGTCTAACGTGGTCTAATTTTTTTTTTGTGATGGTGAATTTTTTTTTGCTGTCGATCTGTAATTCTATACTGGAACAGTGGTCGCAATTGTTTCATGTTCGCTCATTTTTAAATAAAACATGATGCCAAGTAATTGCAGTCAACACAATCTATCTATCTATCTATTTTATATACTAAAAGTCCATTAATCTTCCTATAAACGCTCCTAAACCGCCATGTGGTGTTCCTACAAACGCTCCTAAGTCGCCACATGGCATTTTATAATCTCAACGTTGATTTTCATTTAAATTGGTGGACCCATAATTTTAGACCGTTCGATTAGATCTATTTCCTTTCTCTTAGTATCACGTGCATATGAGTAAAAACTAGCGTAAGTACTTATGATGAAAAAAAGATAAGGTACTGTTCACTTAAAAAACAAACAAACGTACGTAAGTACGAGAAGAAAAACTATAAAAAAAAAACTTTAGATACTGTTTACTAAAAAACAATAAAAACATACGTACGTATGCACGAGTAAAAAAACTATAACACCCTTAAAATATGTATGCATATCAGTAGAAAAAATTAGACCGTCGTTTTAAAATAAGATTTTCTATACTATAAAAACACGTAATATGTTACACCATTAGATTAGCCCGCTTTCTCTTAAAAAATATTACAAAATTTGGTAACCCGGATTATATAATTGAATTATTGGATCAAGGACCATAATTTAATAATTTAATAATATTAGATAATTTCATAATTTTGTTTTATATTAATGGTTGAATACTACAAGTCCATTAAACTTTCTTAAAACGCTCTCACGCTGCCACATGCCAATCCTTAAAACGCCCTCAAGCTACCATGTGACGCTAATAAAATCTATCCCTCAATTTTTACTTAAATCAGTGGGTCCAATATTTATAGCCGCCCAACTTAATTGAGATTAAAATAACCTAGCGCCGCGGTATATAATCCGCACTATGAAAGAAAGCAAGTAGTTGGTTCAAAATTTATATTTGCTATTACAACATTTAAACTTTAGGACTTATGTTGAATACGTATTTAAATAAATACTATAGATCACACATATCATAAGGAAACAAGATATTTAGATCGCTCCTCTTTATTCAAATATATATATGTAAGTATATAACAAATTGTGTGAGCATGTATGAACCAATTAAAAGGAGGGTTAACTTGATGGCACAAATAAAATAAATTTATTAGTAATAATAACTTTCTAGGAGTTGTTTAAAAATAGAGCACCTTATTTTTAATATACACTTAATTTGTTCGACATTTGTTTTAAACTAATTAAGTCAATCTTCTTTCAAGATAATGAAAAAGATTATAATTGATTTCTTACCGGTATAAATTAAATATTGTATAGTTTAAAGCTAACAGATAGGTTGAAACAATTATCCAAGCAACACCGTTGAAGAAAATTTATAGAGAAATAGTACTTTTAAAGTGTGATAGGTGTCATTCAGTTGATATACATTCTGTCACTATAAGTTTTTTAAAAAATACGAATCCACGTAAATACCCGTGCGATACATGCCCGTGCGAATGCGCGGGCTACCTTCCTAGTTATAATGACAAAGATAAACATATACTCCACATTTTGAAATCCCAATGCTAAAATGTTCCACATTGTTTTCTCACCACAGGCTTATATACATTGTGGAAAATGGTAAGAACTGCTACCACCTGATCAATGGGCCTACACTTTTACAAACGTTGTGAGATAAACATTGTGAATGTCCTTAGCCTCTGCTCCCACATCAAGCGAACAATCGTAATGTACATCGTCCTATTTAAGTTCTCACTATACGTATACGTAGAATAGTTAACCTGAAATTTGTATTGCTGAAACGCATATACTCTCTCTATTTTATATTATAAGTCACTTTGATTTTTTATTCAACGTATTTAATTTGATCAAACTTATAGAAAAAATATCACATTTACAACACCAAATTAGTTTTCTTAAATCTAACATTAAATATATTTTTATAGTGTATTTATTTTGTCTTAAAAATACTACAAAGCTATGTTTTCATGTAAACTTAATCAAGCATAAAAAGATTTGACTGGAAAAGAAAACAAAGCAACTTACGATACGAGACAGAGGAAGTATTTTATAAGCTTAGCCTAATTCTATCTAAACTCGTCAGGCAAGAGTGTCATTATTTTGTTTAGAGAATCCATTATATGCCACTTAGTTTGTCACACACTACGATTTGCCACTGATTTTGTCATGTTTTATAATATGCCATCGATTTTTGCATAACTTCTACTATTTACCATCATCGTCCGTTAGCCTCCGTCAGTACGGTACAATTTTGTCCAAATAACCAAAATACCCTAGGACAAAAACTTCTAAAATTTGGACAAAAATTCTGAAGTATCATCAGAATGTTTATCCAAAATTTGGAAGTTTTATCCAAGGGGTATTTTGGTCATTTTGATAAAATTGTACAGTACTGACTAACCAAACAATGATGGTAAATCGTAGAAGTTAAGCAAAAGTCGATGGTATATTGTAGAATATGATAAAATCAGTGACAAATCATAGACCTGTGACTAACTCAATGGCATACAAGGGATTCTCGCGTTTGGGTACTTCATTGTTATCGTGAGCATATTTCCCGAACTATTAATCCATTTTGAAATTTATAATAGTACTCCCTCCATCCCAAATTATAAGACCTATATTTTTTACATGGTTTCAAATGACATACTTTAACCCTTAATTTATTCTAGGTTATATTTCTAAATATGAAATTATTATCACATTAAAGTTACACAAAAAGTTACTATTATAAATTTGATTATTAATCAAAAGTTATCGAGTTTGTTTCTCCTTAAAATAAGGATGCACTATAATTTGAGACCGAGGGAGTAATATTTAACTAAGTATACGCTAATCACTCGCTTTGGTTTGCGTTCCATTGACTAGCTGGGCCAAACTAGAGTTTCGAATACAGCCTTCGTTGGTATATTTGGAAACATAAAATGATTCACTTTGAGTTATTCAACATTATTGTGCTGTACATTATTGTCAAAGCTGGTATCAATATATACAGCTTCACATCTTATATATACAAACAAATTTGAACAAATTAAATAAACAAATTACATGTACTTCTACAATTGTTTCCTTCCCATGCATGCGTTGACCTTGACAGCTAATATTTACATTATTCTTTACTATATGTACTACTTATGTACATATGTACATGATATTGTAGCAACACACAGGCTTGAACGATGAACCATTGTTGACACTCACTGCATCTTCTTCTGTCATATACCTTAACTATATGGCCAATCCGGTCAAGTCATTACCTGGTGTGGGAAAAGAATTCGACTTGTCAATGTGTTTTACCATGCATGCACCATATATTTAACATGAACATACAAAAAAAAAAAAGAATTCCCCGTAAGTCCTTACCTGGAATAGGAAGTCCATTTGACTGGCTTTGGGCGCTAGTGTTTTGATTTGGTATGCGAGGCTGTGAGCACCCTGACCATTGTTCCGAGGAGGAGGTGTACTAAAACCTTCAAGTCCTGCATATGTGCACAAGTTGGTTGCTTAAAGATTACCTTTCACAAATTTCTGTAGAATTTCTGCATTTGTGCTATAGGATTAGAATGTCTGTAGAATACAGCTAGGGAAGGTAATGGGTCAGAGCCCATGGGCTCTTTCACAACCCACCTCAGCCTTTAAATATTTTTAACACAAAAGTCTATTAAATCTTAGCCTAACCCTTTTCAGGCTCAGTCCTCATATTTTGTAGACTAAAATATTAGGTACATTATCACCCCCCCTAAATACAGCTCCTATCACCATTGTATACATATATGCCAATAAATATGTAGTTAGCGTTTTTTTTTCTACAACTCATTAAACTTTTTGAATACTCTACTTAGAAAAAATGTGTTTCTTGAACTATATAGCAATCTTTTTGTTGGTACACGAAATGAGTTTGTTTTTAGTACGTACTCCTGTATCCCACAATATAGCTACTATACCTTTCTCGTTTAAATATGGCCATGTCAAAATATAAAGTGCTACCTTCCAAATCAAATTTAAACTAGAAAGGTAGCTATATTTTGTGCCGGAGAGTACCATTCAACCAGTATGGAGGAATAAAAAAGAAGCAAATAAGGAACAAAGCCGAACGGTGAAAATTAGTTCAATCGGCAAAACAACAAAGCAACAAAAAAAATAAAATGATTAACATTCAAAGTTAGAATTGAAAAATAAAGCAACAATTACCTAGAAGGTTTAACCCTTCTTGATTAATGTCCGCCTGCCTTTTGGATTTTGCAGAGGATCCACCCTGGGGTGGCACAGAACTACTAGTTCCTGCATGTATAATGCGTCTATGAATTGCTAGAACAAAAGTAAACTACTAGAGAATACCTCAACTGCATATAATTTCGGAATATTATACCCTTAGCAGTGGCCATCTCTTGTTTTTGCAAGGATATGATCTTGTTGAGAAATGCTTCAATCAAATTGTTGCTGTATATTGCCTACTGATTCTGAGGAATTATTTTGGCCTAAGCATGTTTCTTATATAGCTAAGTAACCTTAGCCCAAAGGTTATTAATTAATTACGATCAATATGATGGGAAATTACAACGGAGTAGCTTGTCATTGAAGCTGTAAATTCTTTTTGTATCTATTAATTCTGTGTTAATTAGCTAGAGGCCATTTGTTATTAGTTCTCCCAATATAAGTTTAAGCGGAGATGGGCATGCACACAACACAAGTACTGCTATTGTTTAGCACATATACAAGTATTAACTAATTGTGCAATGTAGGACACAGGTATTTAATTATTTTTCTCCGATGTTACGGCAATTAGATTATAACCGATCAAAAGTCCTCGATCTGAAAAAATGACAGGAACAAAGCTAGGAAATTTTGCACGGTGACCAGCTGGAGTGGTTCCACTTCCGTGTCGGTGATTTTGGCATAACTTATTTTCTCTCTTCAAACTTACTGAGGTCTTGCGAATTAACATGCTGGAAATTTCACATCCATGAAAGAATATATGACGTACGTTTTACAATTAGTGTAGTAAATATATGTTAACGTTAATTATAATTATAGAATCTGAGCATATGAAAAATATGTAGCCAAGTTTGTGTATATACAGCAAGTGGTCAGATACTACTATACCTATGTAAATTTTTTTATTTATGTAAAGAATTATATGGTGAAAATTATCTGCTCCATCATTTGCTTTTTATTTTCTCAGCCGAGGCCAAAATTTGAATTTCAAAATTTTTATTTTAGAGTTGATTTTTACACGTTGCATCGTAATCTTCTAGTATAGATGCTTTTAAGTCGGTAACAACATGTGTATAAAAGTTTTGTCCATATATTTTTTTTCGTTAATTAATAAGCTTATAGACTTTGAAAATTTTAAATTAATTAGTTGTATTTTTTTCTATGACCGGCGAGCGTATAGAATTATTTGACTAATTAAAGCTGGGCTAAGTTACTACAGAAATTACAGTTATTTTTCTCCACTGTTTCTGTTGAACTCAATCCAGGAGATTTTGCATGGTGTCCAACACAGCTGCTTCGTAGTACTAATTAAGTTTAATTTCGACGTCGACATGTACACCGAGATTAAATCTGCATACTCTGACCGACTCTAAAGTCTAAACGTTCAAGTTAAGAGGTTTCAAAAATGCGGCCAAGATTTCCTTCCCTTTTCCATCAAAGAACGGCAGAAAGATCAGTTCAATTTCAAGGTGTTTTTATTTTTATCGTTAGAACTCCGAACCGTGAAAGATGGCTGGACGCTGCACTGCACTGCTCCACGGGGAAGGCGGATCCTCTGACGTAGAGGATTTCTACGTCAGAGGGACGTCCCCGCTGGATCACCGTACATTCCGCATCCGACGGCAGCATCGTTTCCAGCCTGTCCTCTCTGTCGTTTGGCCTAGAAGGCTAGAAGCGCGCTGGCTTGGCCCATGTGCAGACCAAGTCGAGGAGCGCTGGTTCGTCCGCCATGGCCGTCATCGTCAGACGCTCGTCGTCTCGCCTCCTGCCGCTTGTCCGCTATGGCCGCCGGCCGCTCGTCCGGCAGAAGTGGTCTTTTGAACGAGGCGAGGGAGGCAAGAGAGAGCATCAACAAAATGGCAGCGGCCGCGGCGCACGTCCACATCAAGGCCGTGCAGACGGCGGTGAGCCCGGGAGGACGCGTCTCGTCCCCGAGGGTGTGCTGCAACGTCGAGTCCGTGCGTGTGGGAGGACAGGGAGTGGGGGAAGGAGTCGCTGAGCGAGGCGCTGGCCGACCACCCGGAGATGGCGGGCCGGCTCTGACGCCGCATAGATGGGTCGTGGGAGGTGAAGCTGAACGACACCGGCCGGCGTGCGGCTCCTACAGGCGACACAGTGGGCGTGACCCTCGATGAGTTCCTCGGTGGCAAGGGCCTGGTGTGCAGGGAGGTTGCGCTGGCGTCGTGGACCGACGTGAACGCCGACGACCCCGATATGTGCCCCGTTCTTCATGTAGGTGATCGAGCATGCATCAAAACGAGCATCGCCGCGCGCAAGCATGAAAAATCATGCATGCATGCATGCATGCGAACAGTATATATATATGTGGCGGTACTATACCCTTCGATCGACCTCTCTCCTCTCTTCTGCAGTTATTCTTTGTGCTTTAAATTGTGGTATACTAGAACGGCGGCGGGTGGCCGGCGGGTAGACGATGAGCATCTAACGGTGACGGCTATGGCGGACGAACCAGCGCTCCTCGACTTGGTCTGCAAATGGGCCAAACCAGCGAGCTTCTGGGCCTAAACGACAGATAGGATAGGCTGGAAACGAGACTGCCGTCGGATGTGGAATGCACGGTGATCCAGCGGGGACGTCCCTCTGACGTAAAAATCCTCTACGTCAGAGGATCCGCTTCTCCTGCTCCACAGTACTGATGGGCTTATGGGACTATCTAGCTGACAGACGGCTAAAAAAAAATAGGTTGCAGCCGTATTTTGCACCGTGCGATGGACTATGTGTTGCCCATCTCACTGCCTGCCCTCCAGCGCGCCCTCTCCACGCGACGCACCCACATGACGCAGGGACGCGCTCTTTTCCTACTTTTTTATTGGGTCGGAAGCCCATTTTTTTCATCATAAAAGAGCCTGACAGCCCAACGAGTCCAACACTTTCCACATCTGCCAGCTTAGATGGATTTGGGCTTCATGCCTGATTTGTTCGGCTGAAAATAAGAGCCCAGCACAAGATATTTCTGTATGTTTTGTTGGGCTTAAAAAAAGGCATTAAAGCACTGAGCTAACTTACAAAAGCCCAACTAAAAATACTTTTAGAAACTAGCACAAATACGCATTACACCTACAAATTTACTAGCAAAATTACAAATGGGACATTTTGGGTGACATAACTATTTCTCACAAAATTGGGCCACAGCCAACAGCCCGTTTTGGGTGGAGAAAAAAAGCCCACGACATTTTGTCCACTGAAAACAAAAGCCCACGGTCCCAGAAAAGTTTTGTTATCTGAAAACAAAAGTTCCTAACTCAGGAATGTTTTGTCATCTTCATTTGGTTTCTTTAAATCCAGAATTCTGTTGACTCTCTCTTTGATTGTCAGATCAGATCTACGTGGTGATACAAGAGGTATTTTGATTTCACATGATGAAAATCCATGCCACTTTCAGATTTCCACTTTCAAAGTCCCTTTCCTGGAAAAAAGAAATACACATTTCACTACATCAACTATTTTGATTTCACATAATGACTAATTATTCATAAATCTAAATTTTCCTACTTCATCTGGACTATTAGTGCCTAACAAAAGTACTCTATGACCTAGATAATATGATTTCATAGTTACTATCGTGTAGATAGCGCATCAACTTAATATATGTAGCAAAACTTAAAAATATAAGATGTTCCTAAATTTGCTCTGAACTTAATTCACTATTTTTATCCTCTCATTTCACAAAAGTGAAATAAAGTAGAACAAGAAGTGGCGTTGCCCCATACCTAGCAGTAGCATTCGCAGTGGCAGCATCCTGCTAGGCAAAGCCAATGTTCTTTAGGAATAGCTCCAGGTCTCCTACCTCTCCATCTTGTTGATAAAATTAATGAAATTAATAGCTGCTAGCAAAAATTTATAAAACTATTCTGATAAGACTAATTGTTTAGAAACTATCAACCTTAGCTACTAAGTACTGCTACCCACATGAAAAAACTATTTCTAACAAAATATAGAACTAACAAGACAGGTTGCTAACACAACTACTCACTACACCAAAAAAATCGCTAACAAAATTACAGATGGGATCATGGGACACACAAAACCACATTTTTGCTTTTTTGAAAAAAAAAATAGAAAAACAAAATTACACAAATACTTATTATACCTAAAAATTTACTAACAAAATTACAAATGAGACATACAAAATACGTTACTTAGTAAAAACTACAAAAACTGACAGAAACAGCGGAAAGAAACATGGACGTTAGAATTGAGAGATATTGATATAAGACTATTTAGAATAATACTACTAGCACGTTTTGATATAAGACTGTTTCTGACAAAAACATGGACGTTAGAATTGAGAGATTTTTATGGTAAGCAAACAACGGCATTAAGAACGATTTCCAATGGTTAGGCTATGACCTAAATAAGCGATAAACTGATTAATATGTACCAAAATTATAAAAATCTAACAAAGACAAAGACAAAGACAAAAACAAAAACAAAAACATATACAAAAACAAAACGCACTATTTTTGAAACTATGCTCATTTCTGACAAAATAATTTTTTTGGAAAAAACAAACACAAAATAAAAAAAACAAAACCGAGAGAGTGTATACAAAGCTGACATGACATAACTTTTCAGACAAATCTATCAAAACTAAGTAATATTCACTAAAATTATGAGGTGTTGCAGTGTTATTACTGACAAAATACAAACATTAGCAACTGACAGAACATATGACTTGTCAGTAGTAATTTGCTTCAGTGTTGTAATCTTCATATGCAGATTACATTTCTTTAGATCTACTGATTACATATCTTCAGGATTACATTTCTATGACCTAAATAATATGATTTCTTAGTTTCTACCATAAAGATGTAGAAAAAAAATAAAAACTGACAAAGATTAACTATAGACAAAAAATTACAAGATGTATTATAAAGTTCAAGTACAAGCATGCACTACAATTAAAAGATTACTTCGAAGCATAATCCACCAGTAACAAAGCAAAAGTCCTATCTACTTTTGACTATGTGTATTATAACGTAAATCACAGAGCCCTCATGAAAAAATTCACCTACTACAAGCTATCACACACTGCATAAAAGCCAAAATAAGAAAATAACAGAATCAGTAAGCTTGTTAAGCTTCAAAACTAGGTACCAACAACCAAAATGACCACACACCTGCCACCTTTTATTTTAGCACCTAAGCTTTCAATTTTCAGTTATATATGAAATGATTCCCCAATGTTCTCCACCTTTTTTAATTATCACTAACACAGAGCAAACGAATATGCATCATTATAACACAAACCTTCCAGACCTGATAAGTAATAACATAAGCACCGCTTTTCAAGAAAAAAAAAGAATCTTAAATCTCCATAGTTGATACTAGTAGCATATTATAGCACGTCTAGGTTGGGAATCAACAAGACATGTCCATATTCACCAACTGAATCATGTGTAAACAACATCAGGTCACCGTGTGGGCTAGCTGAGATCAAAGAGAGAAGCCACTCACCAACCAGGACGAGAAGCCCCATGACTGCTTCACCGTCCGCCACAAAAGCCTCCGTAGAAGCCTCGCTGACGACTACCTCCCCGGCTTCCTCGCCCTAGGAGAGGGAAGAGCCATCCTTGCCTCACTGACAAAACAAATTGCAAATCCCTTCCCGACTGCAGTTCCACCGGAGGAGACAACAAGCTTAGGGGCGCCGTTAGTTCGCCGGAGAATACGCCGACTGCATTGCGGCCATGCTGCGCGTCGTCGCCGATTGCAGCTCGCTACCATCAGCACTGGGCAATTCATTCCCCTCCTCTCTCTCTCTCTCTCTCTCTCTCTCTCAGTCTAGTCTCTCACTCTCTCTCCCTTCTCTGCGTGTGTGGCTGGGAACATGGACACGCAGCGTGGGGGACTGACTCATCATCTGTCTTGGTTTCGGATTTTACAAAAGAAAACGGGTCGACACCCGGTTCTCTGTGCGGACACGAAATCACTCGCACGAATCTTGGAAACAATCCGACGCTCCCGTGTTCAGCTGACAAAACAAAAAAATTCAGCCGGCAGTTCTGTAGCAATTCCCTTTATTTATTTATTTATTTTGCATCAAAAGCCTATAAAGTCCAGGTCCTAGAGAGCAGTATTAAAAAGAAAATGTTCGCCGTCTCTTTGTTTCAAACCATGAAGACTTGAAGAGGCCGATGACCTGTCCATGCAAAAATATCCTGGATTTTTCTCATGACGTCAGTTCAGAAATCGGAGTACTGAATAAGCCAACCACGTTTATTACCAATCTTGATATTACGATCAATGTGATGGGAAAGTACAACGCACTACTAGCAAACCCGTTCGTAAAAATATAATAACGGTTTTCATGTAAAAATCGACTTTTATATGTGGGATTTAAAGAGGGGGCCTCCTAATACACATAAGAATCGGTGGTTTGGTATTATCCTTTCTGCAAGTTTCCTATTTTAGTTAGCGAAAAAAAACTTGCAATTAACCCGCGTACGCGCGCTGCCTCCCTCGTGCTGACACTAATAATGTGATTAGCGCTAATAATATGATTAGTGCTAACAAATACTTAACATGAGGATTTAAATTTTAAATTCCGAGTTGAAATTTTTGAATTTTGGACTTGAAAGTTTTAAATTTTGTAATTGGAATTTTTTGAATTTTGGGGTTGAAAGTTTTAAAATTTCATATGAAAGTTTTGAATTTTCAGCTGAAAGTTTTTGAAAATTTGAGTTGATAGTTTTAAATTTTAGGTCAAAAGTTACAATAATTTGAGTTGAAATTTTCAAATTCGAGTTGAAAGTTTCAAAAAAAATAGGATGAAAGTTTTCGTTAATCACGTCACCTAATTGAAAAAACAAAAATTAGAAGTAATAATAATAAATTATAGCGCTAATCACGCAGCAACAGTTGCAAATTAAACGGTTTGCCTCACTTCTCGTTAATTCCTGTTAGCACTGTCGGACGGAAAAACTAAAAAGTCAAAAGTGTAATTGGGCCTTACTAATAATGGGCCGAAACCGAAACGCATGCCAGTTATTTAGCTAGCGCGTCTGCGCCAATTAGGAGTTTCATTTAAAGACCACGTGCAAACAAATCTAATATATTTCAGGTGATCTTATTCAGATCTCACATCTCGCCTGTAAAAATCAATTTTCTACATGTGGGGTCTAACGAGGACTGATTGTGTAAATTGTGAAGAGCCTTAAAATACGAAGCGGAATTGTCTGAGGAGTGCCGGTCCTATCTTTTACCTCCTCCCTCCACTAGTACAGGGAAAATGATTGGTGCCAGTTAGGAATCGGCCATGACTACCGGATTTCCCATCCTGCACCCCTTAGACGGCGCCAATAAGCTATGTTTTTAGTGCCAGTTTAGGAACTGGCTCCTATAACACCTACGATGAGAAAAAAACGATTTGTCTTGATGAATCGAGTGAATGCACCTCCTAAGATCCACATCAAAGTCATACATGGAGAAGCCACAGAAGAAAAAAAAATCAACAATATCACATTTCACTCAAAAACAAATCAAGAACGTTCATCCTGTTGCAAACAACGTTTGGACCCAAACAAGAACCCATATCCATATTTCCCTTTCCCCAAAAATCAAGAAAACCCAACGCAAATTCAAGAAAACCCTTGCCAATGAACCCATCGCGCTGTCCTCATCATCCTCCTTGCCTCCGTGGCAGTCCCGAGCTCAGGGGCTGGCGGATCTAGCCCCCGCCACCGCGTGCCTCCTCCTACACCTCGCAGGAGAGGAGAGGAAAGGAAGGGTGGAGATGAAGACCTTGCCATACCTCCTCGTCATCGGACCTCCTTGCCACAAACAATTTGACCCCCCGCCGATCGGGGAGAGGGAGAGGCACCTGCTTGCTGCCCAGGGGAGAGGGAGAGGCATCCACATGCGCAGGGGAGAAGGATAGGCATCGACTACCACGGGACCACGCAGGGGGGAGGGATTAGCGTTGGCCAGCCATGCAAGGGAGTGGGAGAGGCACAGAAGAGGATGGATGAAGAGTAGAAGGTGGAAGGGGATTAGGGAGAGGAGTATGGCTTGGCTCGACATGCGACCATCGGGGCGCGGGCGTGCCGCCTCCCGCCGACCGCGCCGGCGTGGCCGCCCTTGGGCGCGCCGAGTGGCTGCCGCGTGGGGCCCGGTCGTCAGCCGCCCACGCCCTTGGGTGCGGCTGACGCGTGGGGCCCACGGCGGCGGCCGGTGTGAGCCCGGGTGCACCCTGTCCACCGTGGACTGTGAGGCTGCCGCGTGGGCCCCACTCCCATGGACCCGGTCCGCGCGCCCCTCCCCCCTCGGCTGACGCAATAAACCCTTTTTAAATTAAAATTTAAATGAAGAAATTCGCAAATATTCATTTAAAGAGCATATAAACTTCAAATGGCCATAACTTGGCCATTTGAACTCGGAATTGGACCGTTCAAGTCTCTAATTTTTCCTTAAGAAGTCAAGAACCCATTTTTGTGCTTTGTTCCTGCTTGTTATATCGAGTTTATTAGAGTAAAATCCTTTTCTCTTCCGTTGGTCGTGTAGACGCTGCAGCTTCGGAAGATCCGCTCTTCGTGGAGGTTGAAGCCAACGTTTGAGAAAGCGAGCAAGGCAAGTCACATCATCCTTGAACATATTGGATCCCATTTTTATAAAATTATTTTGATTTAAATTATTGCATTATCGCTTTACTTAAATTCCCGCGTTATCACTGTTTTATTTAGCCATGCCTATTTACCTTTGTTATGACCTTATTATTATTGTTATTGATATTATTACCTTATTCACCCTAGATTAAACAAAACCCCAACTAGTGGACACTCTACTCATGGTACCACTATTATGAATTTAGGTAGATGCTTCGCTGGTTAATTAGGCAACATTAGGTGGTTTTACTACTCTAGACTTTGGGAATATTCTCATCACCTGGACACTATGGAATGGATGGATTATTGTGGAATTGGATTCACACCTCCCCCTCTATTCAAAATCCTCAAAATGGTTTTAGGCTGGGCTCGGGGTGCATGGTTTTGATAGTAGCACCTCGGCCATATAAGGACCGGTCTTCGGGCCTCTGTTGCAAAGCACTACCGTACTTCCACATGTCTAGTGGGTAAGGCTTAGTTTGTGGCTCAGTCTGGTTATAAACAAAAGTACACGGATGGAGATGGACGAAGTCGGGGGTCGATGGATATCTCTAGGGCAAATGAAGGCTACACGAGCTGCGGCCCGGTAGTCGAGATGTCATGGCACAGGGCCGGTGTCCTGCTGCTAGGGGCTCAGTCCTGCCTACCTGTCCTGGAGGTTCCGGCCGTAGGTGGGGTTGGGTCGGTACTCTTGTCTATGGCTAGGATGGGTTGGAAACTATGTCACGTCTTCCGTCCGTATACCGTGGTGGTATGTGGCACGTGGTTACACGTGAGAAAGATGTGTCTTGTGGGTAAAGATGTACACCTCTGATCAGAGTATAACCTATTCGAATAGCCGCACCCTCGGTTATGGGCAAGCCGAGCAATGTACCCAAGTTAGTGTTTTAATTCTTAAAACCTGCTTAACAACTAAAATGTGGAATGGTTGGCCTGGGTTGGCTTGGGACGAGCTGGGACGCAGGGTCGGGTTACCAGTTCGGTCTGAATCATCGTAGGCCTTGGGTTAAGGCAGGTTCGTGTGGGTTCACGGCCTTGATTAATAATATTGTATAGCTCTAGGACCGTGTTTACAAAGTAGCTTTGAGCAACTAAGTGACTTTTAATGCTGTTTACTGCAAACCCTAACCCCCCTATATTATGGCTTCCTTGTACTGCCTTGCATTTATTCTGCACTTGTGGGTGTGTCTTGTTGAGTACGGTGGTTGTACTCAGTCTTGCTCAATTTTTCCCAAACCCAGAAGAGGAGAAGGCTTTGGTGTCTAGCTCGTGCCTGCCGTCAAGCGCCTGTGGTCGTCGCCCTAGTCTTCCGCTGTTTCCCGTTTGTCTTTGTGTGTGCTGGGCCTTCGCCGCCCATGTAATAAATTAATTATTTACGCTTCCGCTTGATAAACTCTAAAATGTATCAACTTTTGGTGTACCTTGCCTCCTGGGACAAGGAATAATGAACGCACGTAAGGAACGCCTGTTGGGTTATTTCCGGTCGTGACAAGAGGGCATGGCTACATTTTTTTTTCAACATCATGCTCAAGCTTGTGAGAGCATAACTTTATTATATTCTTTTTTCATAACCATGCCTTTCCCTCCTTCTCTTTCTTTTTTTTTCTTTTTTCAAAGGACTTTTCTTTTTAGGAGAAGAAAGCACATGAAAGCATGGAGAATTTATTTTGGCGGTAAAATGGAAATAGAATGGAATATTGCTGTGCTCCCAGTGTAGGAGTTTAGCATGTGCATATATGTGGGTGTATGATCTTGATCATAGAACATGAGAAGTATCTACACAAGTCACAAGAGTTTGACAAAGTTCAAATGAAATGGCAAGTAACCAAAATGTATATGGTTTAATCATGATGGCACATTTTTGGCTCTGGTAGGAATTTATATCAAATGAGGAACTTTCAATTTTATCATTTTGAAAAACAAAACATCCGGAATTCAAGTCAAACTAGTATCTGGGTCATAGCTACTCTTATTTACCATCTCATATCTTACAACAACTTAGACTCAGATCAGCAAGTGCAGCTCATTTACCTCAGGTTCCCAGATAATTGTTGGCTACTTTATATTTAACCTTTGAGAGAGCACTTACCTATGAACCCATATATAAGAGATATAAAACAGAGCAACTATTCATCATTTCAACAAAGAGAACTAGCTTGTCTTACCTAGCATGACTCAGACCTATCCTAGTTTATAGGATGCAATTGGAATGGGAAAAATGCAATGTGATACAAGTTACCT